TTTTTTTTTTTTTTTTTTTTTTTTTTTGGCGGAACTGGGGATTGAACTCAGGCCCTTGCGCTTGCCAGGGAAGCGCTTATTCCACTGAGCCATCTTCCCCAGCCCCCCGGCTGTATTTTTAAAACTTGACATCTTCCCATCTCTAACAAAACTAAATATTAAAAAAGGGATACAAAGGAAGGACCATTTTGTATCTGCCTGTACAAAATAGGATAGATTACAGGTAGTTTCTCTTAATTCAGTGAGAATAAAGGTTTGTACTAATAGTATTTGGACAGGATATCATGTCTGCATCTTGTACTATGAATAACCACTAAGAAGATAACAATATGCTATGTATTATTGAAACTGTCCTATTAATTGGTTTTGAAACTGTCATTGCTGTTTCTCAATAAAATTAATAAAAAATAAATAAACCTGAGATGGTCCAACCTTAGCTTTCTAGAATGTGGGAATCATAGGTATTGGCCACCATGCCTGGCTCAATGTAAATTTTTTTGAGGTATGTTTAACATACAGTAAGATTTAGTATTTTAATTTTTTAAATATTTATTTGGTACAGGGGGTCTCTACGCTATGCAGCTTCGACTCATAGTGATCCTCCTGTCTCACCCTCCCCGGTGCTGGGATTACAGCCATATACCAACACACCTGGTTTTAGGGGCCAGCACAGCATGTAGTACCAGGGATCAAACCTGAGTCCTTGCGCTTGTTAGGCAGGTGCTTAGACTGCCAAGCTGTCTCCCTGGCCCAGATTAAGCATTTTAAATTTAGCAGTTTTAGTTTTTGCAGCGATATACAAGAGCCATCACCATCAAGAGATGGAATGCTTCCATTACTCAAGAAAGTTCCTTAATGTCCTAATTTTTTGCAATTAGTGAAAGTTTAAACTTAAAAGTTTCTCACTTATTTTTTTCTCAGTTTATTGTTCCAATTTTATTATACGTGCTGCCGAAGTAAACACGTTTAAATATGTCTCCCAACAATTTTGAAATCTGTAGTTTTTTTCAGAACTTTTTTTGAAATCTGCTTTGTTTGATTTATGAAAATTGTCAGTTTACGTTAGCATTAAGAAAGTAACACACAAGCATATCATTTGATGAAATGCACTGGTATGTGGATAAGCCCGGCTAAGACAGTTTTATACTCATAAGTTTAATTTCCACTTAGAAGTTCTGTGCATGTGCAAATATGCTTTAGGTACTATATACACTAGTAATTTCATATGGTAATTATTGAGCTAAACAAAAACTCCTTGGAGGACAATACTGAAGAGTATAATAAAATTTCAGTAATGCTATGTATTTGCTTAAGTCCAGTTTGTTTTATTTTTGAAGTTTGTGGAGGGATCTTTTGAGAAATACCTGGAACGATTGGGAGATCCCAAGGTAAGATCAAATACGGGAATTTAATATTTTCAGAGTTACTTGGCATAATCACCTGAATCTTCATCTTTGTCACTGTAGCCAGACTCAAAATAGTTCCTTAAATGGCTGTTGCATCAAATAGTTATTGTGGAACTTTAGAGCCTGGCAGTGAACTTGTTTTGTGTTGAACATTGAGAATTATGTATTCACAAACAATAGTAAACAACTGGGAGTAAGTACAGGGGATACAGGACAGTGCTGGGAAACATTAAAGCCTCTTTTAATGAGGGAAGAAAGTGGTAATGAATGTTACTAATAGGTTTAATATCATATTAAACAGTTTTTGATTTGTAGTTACCTGTTGTGTGGGAAAACATAATTTCTGTGTGATAAAATTCCATTGTTCTGGACTTCAAATATATTTACTAAATACCTTTGTATTTTTACATTAGATCTACTTTTACTACTTTTACTATACCTTTTAAATCTCTCATATTAAATGTCATTACTAAATGCCAAACCATTCTAATTCTTAAAATAAGTTATAGTATGTTATACAGATGCTTTATTTGATACAAAGCTGACCAGCTAAAAATACTGTTAAACTTGCCAAAATCCTTCTAATTTGTAGCTATAAAATCTTTTTAAAAAAACTCTTGTTTATGTTTAGGAAAGTGCTGGACAGCTGGAAATAAGAGCTCTTTCTCTAATTTATAAGTAAGTTATGTCCTCTTTGCAACTGGGAGAGTATGTTTGTATAAGGGTGTTGTTAAAGTCCCTTTAGGATTTGGGAAATTGGAGATGATATATATTGATACTGTAAAGTGTAGTCAAAGCTACTTGGTTGGTGGTGTTTTAGGGATGGAGAAACTTGGTACAGATACTCTCCTTACTGCCAGTATTTTGTGTGTATTTGTATGGAAGAATAAGGGACTTTTAAGAAGTACTGGTGTTTTCTGTAGGAAATAAGTATCATCTTAGAAGAATTCTTGAGCGTTAACTTCATTCCTCTGTCATGCATTCTTAGTGGGACTGTTACTTCTGGTAGGCTAGAAATTGGCTTGGGGAGAGGAACAAAATTGCAGATACTGTATTGTAGTGCTTTTTTTTTGTCCCTAAAGGACCACATACATGAACAGATATCTCCGTGGCACTAAAACTGTAGGGAAAGTAACAAAATTTCTTAAAAGACTCTTTATCAGGTTCATAATAGAAAATTTTAAACATTTTTTTTTGCTTTGGAAGTTCTACTTTTAGTCTCTAAAACTAAAAACAGCATTCTAGAAAGCTGTAGAAGTTTGAAAAATAAGCACATGGTACAATATAGAAGTTTGAAAAATAAGCACAAGTACAGTTTAGAAGGTAGTGGAAATCTTAATTTGAACAATCTGTTTAAAGACTCCTTCACTGTTCATAGTGTGGTGAGATAGTGTATACCTCAGTAGAACTGGAATCATCTTATTGATTTGTAGTCTGCTCATTTCCCATTAAGTCAAGAAGTATAGGCAGATACTGGGCAGGTATCTAATCATTTGTCTATTTTTAAATCAGAAGTCAACTTTTTATTTTATTTTATTTTATTTTTGCCTTACCGGGGATTGGCCTCAGAACCCTGTGCTTTGCCAAGCAAGGGCTTATTCTACTGAGCTATCTCCCCGGCCCCTCAACTTCTAAATTGACCTGCTTCCTGTTTTTGTAAGTCCCTTGAGCTAAGAATGATAGTTAGAAAATTTTAAGTAATTGAAGAAAGTTTCATGGCATGTGTAAATCATGAAATTCTGTCTGTAAGTAGAGCTTTGTTGGGAACACAGCTGTGTATATTCATGTGTGCATAGTCTGTGGCTCCTTTCATGCTGCAAAAAGTAAGTTCAATAAACCATATGGCATTCAGAACCTGAAGTTTTTGCCTTTTATTGTCCCCAGAATTGCTAAGGCCTGCTTCCTTTAAGTAAAAGAGAGCTCCCACCATAATCAACATGCATATAATTGGTAGATTATCTTCTTTATTCTTCTACCTCCAGATAAGATGTATTTGGAGAAATTCATAAAACTGTAGTTTGCCTTGGTATAGCATCTTTTAGCCTGTTATTTTAAAACCAAATAGTAAGCTGAACATGTGAATGATTTTATATGAATAATTAGTTTAAAAGCACAAGTGTGTTATTGTATTTTTACATATACTAAATCATCTCTTTCCATCCATGTTTGTTTTCTGTCCATGTAGGCGGGACTTCATTCTTTATCGCCATCCTGGAAAGCCACCAATTTACATCACAGATAATGGCTATAGAGACAAGGTAAGAATATGAGAAAAGGTTGAATAAAATAGAACTGTGCTGCTGGCTTGCCTGGAGATTAAATAGCAGTCTTTTTAAATCTAGTGAAAAAGTCAATGTGATTATTTTTTTTTCCTGTATTTAGTACAGGGTCTACAGGGTCTCACTAAGTAGATCCGACTTG